AACACAAGCTAAGTGAGTGTGAAGGGTGCTGGGCGGCGGTGAAATTACTGAAGTTTAAGTGAAGTCTGTTCTCGGCCTTCCCTTCGCCAACCACCCCAGCCCAGGACGGCCTGAGCGCCCTCCTCTGTGACCATGAACATCGCCAGCGCCCTTCACTCCAGAACGATGGACTGGCTCTTGGAGAGGGGCTAGGGGTGAGTCCGGGACAGGATGCAATGACCAGCCTATGCCTTTGAGTCATGACTGGCCATCATTAGAAGGCAGACCGTGTGTGTGTGTGTGTGTGTGTGTGTGTGTGTGTGTGTGTGTGTGTGTGTGGCTGTTCCGTCTGCTGCCTGTCGCAAAGCTTTGGGAATGGAAACAGTAGGCTTTTAGGAGGAACGGCCTTTGTCACAGCGAGTTAGCCGAAGGTGGACCAAGGCTGGCTGGTCCTGGAGGCCAAGTTCAAATGTCACCTCTAGTGCCAAGGAGCAAGAAGGAGGCAGAGAGGAGGGAACTGCCATTACTTGAACCAAACCAAACCTACTGCCACCCAGTCGATTCTGACTCCTCCGACCCTGTAAGGCCATTGAAAATACCCGGGCTTGGGTCAGGTGCACCTCAGTCCTTAAGGTAATAGCCCTATTTCCTAAAGCGCTACAGAGGTCTGCGCAGCAGACTGACTCCACTGCAACCCACCTTTTGATCTCTTGACTGCTGCTTCCGTGGGTATTGATTGTGCGTCCAAGCAAGATGAAATCTTTGACAACTTTGACCTTTTCTCCATTTATCATGATGCTACCTATTGGTCCAGCTGTGAGGAATTTCGTCTTTGCACTATAATCCAGACAGAAGGCTGCGACCATTCCCGTCAGTGCTAATGAGCAAGCATACTTCTAATCCTGCTCAATTAACGTCACGCCCACCCACTGCCAGGGGGTTAGTTCCCACTCACAGCAGCCCTAGAGGACAAGCGGATGTTCCTTAAGGATTCTGAGACTGGAAATCCTTAAGACAGCCTCAGCTTTCTCCCAACGATTGCTTAATAAGCTTGAACCACTGACCTTGTAGTCAGCAGGCCAGTGCCTAACCCTCAGTGCCACCAGGGCCCCTTCGTGAACATTTAAAGCAAACAAAAACACTGTCATTGAGGTGATGCCAACTCACAGTGACCTTCTAGGCAAGGGTAGAACTGCCCGTGAGTTTCCGAGACTGCAGTTCTTTATGGGAGTAGAAAGCCTCGTGTTTCTCCCTTAGAGTAGCTGGTGGTTTCAAACTGCTGACCTTGCAGTTAGAAGCTTAACGCACAACCCACTATGCCACCAGGGCTCCTTTTATGATGCTCCCCCAAACTCCAGAACCAAACTCACCACCATCGAGTGGATTCCAAGTCAGAGCAACCAACAGGACAGAGTAGAAGAGCTAACGTACAGTAACTCAATAGAGCCCCAGGAAGAGTTGGTCCATTTGTATTTATCAGAAAAACCCAGCCCAGTCCAGACCAAGTCCTTAAGTCCAGTATTAGCCCATATGTCTGTCCAATACCGATCTATAAATTCCTCTTCAGACTCACGCAGCATGCAATGACGCCAAATGCAGGAAGACCACAGACCAGTGGGCAGAAAGTCTTGTGGATCCAGTGGCGGTGGAAGCATCTCCATGCTGGCAGGGGTCTCCCCATGGCTCCTCTAGTTCAGGACACTAGCATGGCTCCAAGTGTCTTGTCTGAAGGAATGACTCCCAGGGAGTAAGCATGTGTCCTGCCTCCAGCGAGCTATTTAGCTCTTCAGCGCCTCCAAATGAGGTCATCAAGCTGCAACCTGCTTGACGGCTGAACTCCACACCTCCACTCTTGTCTCAAATTGACAACAGATTATGTAACTATCACAGATTCCAAGAATGTGTGTTCATTCACGTTTCCTTATATATATGGTTGTTGGCTGTTGTCAC